CGATGTCCAGGAACATAATTGGTATTGATGTGTCGTGGTGTTAGCGCAGCTGGGGCGAATATGCACCAACAAATTATTGCGCAGTTTTAGAACGTTCATTCATTCATTTGTTCGTTCGATCAATCGTTTATTCATTTATTCGTTCCATCCGTTCATTCATCGTTCCATATCCTCCCTTCTATCTATCTATCTATCTATCTATCTATCTATCTATCTATCTATCTATCTATCTATCTATCTATCTATCTATCTATCTATCTATCTATCTATCTATCTATCTATCTATCTATCTATCTATCTATCTATTCATTCATCTCTTCATCCACTCAACCCTTTATTCATGTAATTAAAGGTCTTGTGTGCATTTTCATGACAAGCAACATTAACTCATAAAAAACTTCAATGTGTCATGTTAATCGATGAAAAAGTAAACTAAATTTACCTGTACCTCATCCCCTCCATTCCGACCGAGTCAAACTTTTTCCTAATTTACCGACAGTGCTCACATAGGAGTATCACAATCTCACATTTTGTAATGAAATTCAACCAATAACTAATATTATACCGGCCACGACATTGTACTGTAAATGGCTTTCTGGATTTAGCGCCCCCTCATTAATCATGACGGAAGTTCTTCCGTTCTCCTCACAGGTGCACCTGCACGCTTTTAGATATGGGTCCTAGGAATTGTTTTGGAGACTACAGATTTCTAGCAGGTGAGCAGGTGCTCTGTCGTTTCACAAATTGTCAAATTCAGGAAATTGCCACCAAAATAACATACCAAAAATTATAGTATGCTGTATCCAATATTCACACAAAACTTTTCATTTTTCACTGATACAAATATCCATCCATCTGTAATTAGGTCATTATAGAAATTAAACAAAAAACGACCATGCCGGACCGGAAGCACAGAGTACGTTTCTTTGCTTTCATTAACACCGTTTTATTCTATTCTATTTTATTACTTATATTTGTCAAATTGAATTATCATTTGAAAAGTAGATCCCCAAACTACCGCATAGCTTATTCGACTCTGCGAAAGCAGCTGGACGTGAATACGTATGCACTGTTGATTTAATTTAGTACACATTGTATGAATGTATTAAAAACCATTATCCACTTAATTCAGTGGTAAATTAAATGTGTTCGATTAGCGATAGAAACCCGTTTCAATTGTGAGGTCAGTCTGAGAGATATTTTGTCATTATTTAAAACACTTTTAGTTATTGTAGATGCTTATAATCATTTTTATATTTATACATTATAACTCATATATTATATTTTAATTTACCAAATTTATTTATCACTTTTTTATTTTTTAGATAGGTAAATTATGTGAGACTTGATACTTAAAATGCAAGTCTAGTGTCTAGTGAATCATGTATTTATGCTGTTATGTTATTCAACAACCTACACCTCAATATGGCTCCTGTTAAAAAAATCAACATTCAATGATAACATGTCTGGAAATGAATTTATATAATGTTTAAAGTAACAAACTTCTAATTTTGCCGGCGCCCGCCAAATCATCACGAAAATTATGTGTTAACGAATAGGTGTTTCAGCTAAAATATCCATTGCCTTATAATGAGACAAAAAATAACGAAAGTAGTACTCTTGACTGCGTTAAAGTTTGAGTTAAAATCATCAACCACTATTCAATATTTAATTTACTTAGTCTACTCAGGGGGGATGCAGAGATGTCCGAAAAGGGTGGAGCATCAAAGACAACCCTAGAGTATCCGAGGCCAATTATTAGGTTCTATATGCTATTAGCTTTCAATTAAAAATAAAAATTAGAAAATATTCTTTACGTCATAAAGATGCATAACCCGTTCCTATATTCTTTGCATGAATGTATCCTTTAATTAGTTTGTAATAATCTTAAGGACGTTTGTAGTATGGATCTAAAATGTGTAGCACAAACTGAGTTGTTTCGGCTTGTGTATAGCTGGAAGCAGTGGCGGCAACAGTGGGGTGTGGTGAGAACAGGACCCTCCCTCTTATCCTTCTTTGTCGGAGAACCAGGCCAAGAAGCCATTAATTTCGTCGGAGGAAGTTCTGACAAAGCATTCAGTCTGAAAGTATGAGGTTCTTATTTGTTCAAACCATGATGAGTGATGGGAAAAAAATAAAAAGATTACACGGTACATAAGAAAAGGGAATGTAAGAAAAGAAGAAAAATGACACAGGAAACCAAAAGAAGCAAATAGAATGAGGGGGGCACATTAATGGATCGGAACAGTTGAGTTTCGAGTCCATATTGTTGCAAATAATTCAATATTAGTTTTTTATAACGTAAAATATCTTATATACGTAGGAAATAATAATTTCTAAAAGGAAGAATTATAGTCCTTACATTTTTTAGGTACGTTTCAATTTGTGTTTTAATTCATTGCAGCGACTGTAGAGTACAACAATGCATTAGTGAGCGGGAACCATTCCACTACGTTTTTCTGGTGGCGCTTTCGGATAAATCAGAAATATAAAAAATATAAAAAACTATGGAACGCCGTTAATATCTCCGGTTATGTTCAAACACTCTATTATGTGCAATCGTTATGGCGTTATGTGGTATGGTCATGACATTATGTGGTTTGGTCATGATGTTATGTGGTTTGGTCATAATGTATGCGGTTTGATCATAAAGTTATGTGGTTTGGTCATGATGTATACGGTTTGGTCATGACGTTATGTGGTTTGCACATTATGTTATGTAGTTTAGACATGACGTTCGAACGTCCTCTTCAGTATATGAAGAAGACGCCTTTACCACTCATTATTTGAAGTGATGACCATGACAAACGGCCCAAATCAGTGGTGCGTAATAACCAACAAAAATAAGATAAGCTTAATAATGCTAAACATATCATAACTCCTTAACGGAGAGTCGTATCATATTAATTTTTAGGGAAAATATTCTTAAAAGAGTATTTTACACCACTATATGATTTAAAACACATGGAAGATAAAGATTTTTTTCGTATTTTATGGTTTTCGAGATTTTTCAATAAAAACTGACCGAGTGCATCCTCCACACACATCTTATAATTATTCTCTGTATATATATAAATATAAGATGTTATGTTTAGTACGGACAATGAAATAAAAAATAATGATAAAAACATAGACATCATGGGATTCGAATCCGGGACCGGTAGTGGGGAAAACACTCTTCCAACCGTACTACACTAAACTGTTTTCACGTCACATGTATCACCGTAACACATAAGAACACTGAGGCTGAAATATTGCTTAGGAAATAAAAACAAAATAAGACGGCAGAACAAATTGAGGTTGAGGTAAAATTTCAAAAGGGGTTTTTATTTAAAAACCTCAAAAATCAATAAAAATACGAAAACATTCTTTATGGTCTTATCTGTAACATACGCAGTAGGTGTGACCACGGAGTTGTGTGACTATGTAATATCAATATAGTAACTGTACACTGCTGTACATATAGGAAAAAAATAAGAATATTTTCCGCCTGAAATTGGCAAAACAATAAAAACACTAATCTGGGCAAAATTTTACTAGTTCTTATATAAAAAAAAGAAAAAAAAAGTGGCCTATATCTCGAAATAGAAGCCCGATGGGAATAATCTCGATAAGAAAGCCCATCTCTGAAAAGAAGCCTCCTCTTCAGTTTGCAAAAGTAATTTTGAAAAAGCCCATGAGCTTCTAATCAAGATAATATAGGCTTCTTTTAAGATATACTTACATTGAGACTGACGTTCTTTAATTATTATGATAGCGGTGTCAGTATCAATATTTTATTGTATTAGCATGGTTAAACATTAAACAGAATTTCGAATTGTTTCAAAAACGTAGTATAGTAGCAATTCACAAGAATTGGTTTTGTTTTTGGGGGAGTGGGGACGGTACCGTATCTTTTCCCATATTAAGTCACTGACTTGAAGGGGGTTGCGCCCGAGAATCTCGTCTTTGAGTACTAGATGAATTTTTCAGGGTGAATTTTTTATGGTACAATTTGCCTATAGTGCAGCAACTCTGATTTTGTATACGTTTGTGTATGTATTATACCGTATATGTATGTATGTATGTAAATGGGAATTTTGATAGGCCTACCGTAAAACTGTTGCTAATGACGGTTTTTTTCTTTTACGGATTTTGTAATTCTGTTATTATGTGTGATTTTGCTTTTTTTTTTGTAATTTTGTAGTTTCTGTATTTCCTCT